TCGGAGGGTATCCTGGTCTGTCATGGGAGGGTATCAATGGTCTGTCATGGGAGGGTATCCATGGTCTGTCATAAGAGGCTGTCTATGGTCTGTCATAGGAGGGTGTCCATGGTCTGTCATGGTAGTCTCATTCATTCAACCACCGCCACTGATATGAATGAGTCTCAAGCAAGCCAAAGGATAGGAACCGTGGTTAGCGTTAAATGCATTGCAACGGACCGGGGTTCTCAACATGTTAATAATCACCCTGTTCCAAAAATAAAAGAAAAACAGAGAAATCCAATTATAATCAACCCAATTATAAGCAACCCATTGTAACCAACTCAATTATAACCAATCCAATTATTAAGCAACCACATTATAAGAAATCCAATTATACGCAACAAAATGATAAGAAACCAAATTATAAGAAACCCAATTATAAGCCGAAGAATAAGAGTTTGTATCCTAAAATGAAAATGCATATTTGCTATCTTTTCAATGTTTCCTGAGAACTTGTCGATAGCTTTACGTCCCTGAGACTCAAAGGCACACAGAGGACTTCTTATCTAAGATGTATTCTCATACAATAAGCGAATGAATGAAATGGTCTCTAAACATTTACTTGGTGTTATCACAAAACACATCTGGGTGCAAATAACATCTTATCGTGCCACTGCACGAGGAGCTCTGTGATTGGTTGAAACCGTGGGAGACATTATGAAGGGATTTCTATCACGCGCGGCTTTTTGTGTCTTTGAAGTTTGCCGCCAACATCATGGCGACGTATGAGTTGGATGTTAGCTTGGACTACATCATGGCGACGTATGAGTTGGATGTTAGCTTGGGCTACATCATGGCGACGTATGAGTTGGATGTTAGCTTGGGCAACATCATGGCGACGTATGAGTTGGATGTTAGCTTGGGCTACATCATATTCTCAACGTATAAAATAGCAGCAAATAGAAACAAGTTTTTAACAAGAATTTTCCTCCTTTTCATCCTCACTTAAGCTCCATTACCCTACTCCCCCCTACCCCTTCCCTACCCCTTCCCTACCCCTTCCCTACCCCTTCCCTACCCCTTCCCTACCCATTCTCTACCCCTTCCCTACCCCTTCCCTACCCCTTCCCTACTCCCCCTACTCCCCTCCTCCCTTAAGCTTCCTTAATTTTCCCCTTCCTCTCTCCTCCACTTACAACCTCCTTGTACCGCCCGTATCCGTCCTTACTATAGCTCCCCTATCCACCCCCTTCTTCCTTACTATAGCTCCCCTATCCACCCCCTTCTTCCTTACTATAGCTCCCCTATCCACCCCCTTCTTCCTTACTATAGCTCCCCTATCCACCCCCTTCTTCCTTACTATAGCTCCCCTATCCACCCCCTTCTTCCTTACTATAGCTCCCCTATCCACCCCCTTCTTCCTTACTATAGCTCCCCTATCCACCCCCTTCTTCCTTACTATAGCTCCCCTATCCACCCCCTTCTTCCTTACTATAGCTCCCCTATCCACCCCCTTCTTCCTTACTATAGCTCCCCTATCCACCCCCTTCTTCCTTACTATAGCTCCCCTATCCACCCCCTCCTTCCTTACTATAGCTCCCCTATCCACCCCCTTCTTCCTTACTATAGCTCCCCTATCCACCCCCTCCTTCCTTACTATAGCTCCCCTATCCACCCCCTTCTTCCTTACTATAGCTCCCCTATCCACCCCCTCCTTCCTTACTATAGCTCCCCTATCCACCCCCTTCTTCCTTACTATAGCTCCCCTATCCACCCCCTTATTCCTTACTATAGCTCCCCTATCCACCCCCCTCCTTACTGACTATAGCTCCCCTATCTATCCCCCTCCTTCCTTACTATAGCTCCCCTATCCACCCCCTTCTTCCTTACTATAGCTCCCCTATCCACCCCCTTCTTCCTTACTATAGCTCCCCTATCCACCCCCTTCTTCCTTACTACAGCTCCCCTATCCACCCCCTTCTTCCTTACTATAGCTCCCCTATCCACCCCCCTCATTCCTTACTATAGCTCCCCTATCCACCCCCCTCCTTACTGACTATAGCTCCCCTATCTATCCCCCTCCTTCCTTACTATAGCTCCCCTATCCATCCCCTTCTTCCTTACTATAGCTCCCCTATCCACCCCCCTTCCTTCCTTTGCTCGTCCATTTATGTATATCTCAATTTCTTTATTGATATATCTTGTCTCTCTCTCTCTCTCTCTCTCTCTCTCATGTGCCTCCCTCTCTAACAGAATTCCCTCTCTAATGGGGCTCCCTCTCTAACAGGATTCACTCTCTAATCGGATTCCCTCTCCCATCGGCATCCCTCTCTCATTGGCTCCCCTCTCTAATATGCTTCCCTGAATAATTGGCTTCCCTGACAATTGGGCTTCCCTCTCTAAAAATAGTCTCTCTCTAAAAGTCTTCCCTCTCTAACAGGCTTCTAATTGGCTTCCCTCTCTAAAAAATCGTCTCTCTCTAATAAGCGTCCCTATCTAACGGGCTTCCCTCTCTAATGGGCTTCCGTCTCTAAATATCTTTCCTCTCCAATAGGCTTTCCTTTACATAAATCTAACAATTTTGAAGATGTTTGAGATTGTTGTCCCTAACATTGGAATACACATCACAAAATTATATCCAGTCGCTCCAAATGAAACAAGCTTAAAGCCTTATTAAGGTTCTGATTGACATGAAAACATCAGTGTTTGTATTTTGCTATATGCAGTAGAAAAGCTGTCTACAGTTGGCCGAAAATAATGCCCCTCAATAGAAAGAAAAAAGTTCCCCCTCCAGGGTGGATCACCTCTCCGCCCCTCCCTTCCTTCGCCACTGCTTTTCATATTTTAATGACTTATACATTAATTTACGATAATTTAAATTTGAAGATGTATTATTTGTTTTTCTCTTCTTTTTTCTTAGTTTTTTTAAAATTTTTATTAAAATCTAGTCTAATTCTAAAAATCCCCTTCACTGAACTGTATAATAATGGATGCACCATTCAACACCGTAATAAGGCCTTCAAAATTGTTCCATTTCATTTTCGTAACTACTTCCGGGTCGATGACTTATCCCGGAAAGCCAACCTCATTCATTTTCACAACATGGCAACCTTTTTTGATCCCGTGTCGGTGGCCATCGAAACATTGAAAACTATAGAAGGAGTAGGAAGTCACAAACCAGTGAGTCGCCTCCTCATATGGTCAGCCAATGCGCGGTGGGGCTAGAGGGGAGTGGGGAAGTCAGATGACACGGCCCACGAGATGACAGAGGGTCACTGCAGGGTCCGCCTGTTGGTGGTGGTTAGCCGGGTGTGTAGGGAGGAAAGGGGTGATCGCCATTAGAACTTGGAATTCAATCAGCCAGGAACATATGAGCAAAGTTCAGCAAAGTTTTATTTAGGACAAAGACTAATTCAAACGTTTAGGCTTACAAGCCTTCTTCCGCGGACAAAAATCACCTGGAACTTATAAACGAAACGATATCAAACATTGCTCCATTGCACTTGCAAGAGAAGAAGAAAACTGGGCTGGGTGCATTCATCTGACATGAAAAGGCAATAATCTGACATGAGAAGGCAATAATCTGACATGAGAAGGCAATAATCTGACATGAGAAGGCCTTGGGTACACCGGTCCATGGGTCGACAGATCCTTGGGTACACTGGTCCATGGGTCGACGGGTCCTTGGGTACACAGGTCCATGGTCGACGGGTCCTTTTGTTACCGGTCCATTGGTCGACGGGTCCTTGGGTACACCGGTCCATGGGTCGACGGGTCCTTGGGTACACCGGTCCATGGGTCGACGGGTCCCTGGGTACACCCGTCCATGGGTCGACAGGTCCTTGGGTACACCGGTCCATGGGTCAACGGGTCCTTGGGTACACCGGTCCATGGGTCGACGGGTCCTTGGGTACACCGGTCCATGGGTCGACGGGTCCTTGGGTACACCGGTCCATGGGTCGACGGGTCCTTGGGTACACCGGTCCATAGGTCGACGGGTCCTTGGGTACACTGGTCCATAGGTCGACGGGTCCTTGGGTACACTGGTCCACGGGTCGACAGGTCCTTGGGTACACCGGACCATACGTCGACAGGTCCTTGGATCCACCGGTCCATTGGTCGACAGGTCCTTGGGTACACCGGTCCATAGGTCGACAGGTCCTTGGGTACACCGGTCCATAGGTCGACAGGTCCTTGGGTACACCGGTCCATAGGTCGACGGGTCCTTGGGTACACCGGTCCATGGGTCGACGGGTCCTTGGGTACACCGGTCCATAGGTCGACGGGTCCTTGGGTACACTGGTCCATGGGTCGACAGGTCCTTGGGTACACCGGTCCATTGGTCGACAGGTCCTTGGGTACACCGGTCCATAGGTCGACAGGTCCTTGGGTACACCGGTCCATAGGTCGACAGGTCCTTGGGTACACTGGTCCATAGGTCGACGGGTCCTTGGGTACACTGGTCCACGGGTCGACAGGTCCTTGGGTACACCGGACCATACGTCGACAGGTCCTTGGGTACACCGGTCCATTGGTCGACAGGTCCTTGGGTACACCGGTCCATAGGTCGACAGGTCCTTGGGTACACCGGTCCATAGGTCGACAGGTCCTTGGGTACACCGGTCCATAGGTCGACAGGTCCTTGGGTACACCGGTCCATAGGTCGACAGGTCCTTGGGTACACCGGTCCATAGGTCGACGGGTCCTTGGGTACACCGGTCCATAGGTCGACGGGTCCTTGGGTACACTGGTCCATAGGTCGACGGGTCCTTGGGTACACTGGTCCATGGGTCGACAGGTCCTTGGGTACACCGGTCCATACGTCGACAGGTCCTTGAGTACACCGGTCCATAGGTCGACGGGTCCTTGGGTACACTGGTCCATAGGTCGACGGGTACCCGGGCAGATTGTTCTAATATTTGTGTTCTTAGTTTTAATCGTATCTACGTTTCCCCTTTAAACAAAATTCCTCTACTTTCTGCTAATGACGTCAATTAAATTGTTCCACCAAGGACCCGATCCGATTCAAAGTACAGCTTCCCCTGGATCCAGGGACCTGGGCCAAACTGTCAGCTTACAAGCGGTGCCATGATCTGTTTAAATTTAGCATCCGGTTTCAGAAGAAGATCAACCGGGTCGTACTGTAAGCATTGTTTATAAATGGTGTCGTAGCCATGTCCATAAATGGTGTCTTAGATTTATCCATAAATGGGATGTTAGCCTTGTCAATAAGAGGTGTCTTAGCATTGTCATAAATAGTGTCTTAGTTTTCTCCATAAATGGGGTGTTAGCTTTGTCCATAAATGGTATCTAAGCATTGTCCATAAATGGTGTCTAAGCATTGTCCATAAATGGTGTCTTAACATTGTCCATAAATGGTGTCTAAGCATTGTCCATAAATGGTGTCTTAACATTGTCCATAAATGGTGTCTTAGTTTTGTCCATAAATGGGGTCTTACCCTAGGCCATAAATGGAGTCTTAGCCTTGTCCATAAATGAGGTGTTAGCCTTGACCATAAATGAGGTTTTAGCCTTGACATTAAATGGGGCCTTAGCATTTTCCATAAATGATGTGTTATCATTGTCCATAAATGGTGCTTTAGCATTGCCATAAATGGTGTCTTAGAGTTGTCCATAAATGGTGTCGTAGCATTGCCCAAAAATGGGGTCCTAGCGTTGTTCATAAATGATGTCTTAGCATTATCCATAAATGGGGCCTTAGCCTTGTTTATAAATGGGTTCGTCATTGTCCATAAATGAGTATTTGCTTTTATCATAAAATTGTTCATAAATAGGGGTCTTAGCGTTGTCCATAAATGAGGTCCTAGTCTTGTTCGTAAATGTCGTTTTAGCCTTGTGCATAAATTGGGTCTTACCATGGTCAATAAATGGGGTCTTACCATGGTCAATAAATGGGGTCTTACTATGGTCCATAAATGGGGTCTTAGTAATTTCATTAATTTGATTTAGAAAGGTTCATTCACATTCGTTAATAAATATAAGAATAGTTATCTCTAAATCAGGGGTAGCCAAACCATGCCTCTCCACGTCAAATATTGTGGCCCACAGATGTAACACAAATGAACAGACTTATTTCTTCATTCAATTAGAGAGTATTGTCCTTCTTGCTATTAACATACATTTAAAATATATATATATAGAAAGCACTTTTTGACACCGTAATTTTCTTGCATCGGCCATTGTTCGTTTGAATTTAAAAATAGATTCAAATCAGTTATCTTTTATCTTACTGAATGATCGTTAAACAATATTACTATTTGGAGACTAATCAAATATAAAGAATTATCTAAACCTATCCGGGTCAAAGGTCACCTCTATTGCGTCCACGGTTTCTTAGTTTGGTATTCGTTGGAGTGTAATGACGTGAAACTTATTCAGGAATGAGCACACACACACAATCAAACCTGCATTTTAAATGTGTCTTAACCTTCTCATTAATAATATAACCCTCATCCACTATCGCTTGGTAGAGTTCGGTTACCGTACTAGATGTGATCAATCCAGCCTCACCTTCGTTGATGAAAGTTGCCATGACTGGCGCCTTTAAAAAAAAACTCTACATAATTAAACAACCCTAAAAAAAAATTCTTATAAATCCTATTGATGCATTTTGTATTATTTTATTTTATATTAATACTCCACTGTCGTCCCCCTCCTCGGTTTTACACAGCAGACTTATCACATTAACTATTTTAGAAAAAAACAAAAGAAAATAGTGTGCACCAAATGCACGTGCGACATATTTTTTTTAAGAATCTCATTTAGCGCAAATATCGGGAATTTTATTCCGTGAAATTGGTAGAATTATATTTTTTTTCATCTTCTCCTTGAAAAACAAGAAAAAAAAATGTTTTGGGGGGGTTGGATGTCGCTAAAAATTTGAAAGAAAGGTTGGGTTGTTATGGGCGGTCTATTTGCCAAGTTTCAGCTCGAAAGCTTGACGGGAAGTGGGTTAATAAGCCGTCCGTGATTTTTGCCACAAACCCAAATAGAAAGCGAAAAAAAGGGAAGTTAACATAAATGATTAAAAATATATATTCATGAACTTGACTTCGATAAACCTACCAAATTTTATTTATAAGAGTATGAGTGTGGCTGCACAAAGGTAGTGTAGACATCTGAGAATTATGTGCTTTAAGACAAAAATATATTGAGTGCATTTGGTATTTATTTTTTTTTATTAGGTTTAATGTTATGGGGCTCATGAAGAGTTGACTTGTGGCTACAGTGGCCCGATAAGGGGCTCAATCAATAAAAGCATCAAAATTAAGTCCCTTTATTGTAAGTGGCTGAATCAACAAAAGCATCAAATTAAGTCCCTTTATTGTAAGTGGCTGAATCAATAAAAGCATCAGATTAAGTCCCTTTATTGTAAGTGGCTGAATCAATAAAATCATGAATTTAGTCTCTTAAAGTATTTTATTGTTGCTCCTTCCATTGTTTAGTTCCAGAACTCCAAGCAAAAAACTACGGCTCCAAACAGCGTAAGTCTTGACAAGTTGACATCGTTTGCTATGTTGACATGTAGGCATCTTGACATATTGACATCGTTTGCTATGTTGACATGTAGGCATCTTGACATATTGACATCGTTTGCTATGTTGACATGTAGGCATCTTGACATATTGACATATTGACATCGTTTGCTATGTTGACATGTTGGCATCTTGACATATTGACATCGTTTGCTATGTTGACATTTAGGCATCTTGACATATTGACATCGTTTGCTATGTTGACATGTAGGCATCTTGACATATTGACATATTGACATCGTTTGCTATGTTGACATGTTGGCATCTTGACATATTGACATCGTTTGCTATGTTGACATGTAGGCATCTTGACATATTGAAATATTGACATTGTTTGCTCTGTCGACATGTTGGCATCTTGATATATTGAAATAATGACATCGTTTGCTATGTTGATATGTTGGTATCTTGACATATTGACATATTGACATCGTTTGATATGTTGATATGTTGGTATCTTGACATATTGAAATGTTGACATCGTTTACTATGTTGAAATGTTGGTCTCTTGACAAATTGACATTTTGACATCGTTTGCTATGTTGATATGTTGGCATCTTGACATATTGAAATGTTGACATCGTTTACTATGTTGATATGTTGGTCTCTGACATATTGACATATTGACATCGTTTGCAATGTTGATTGTTGGTATCTTGACATATTGACATGTTGACATCGTTTGCTATGTTGATATGTTTGTATCTTGGCATATTGACATGTTGACATCGTTTGCTATGTTGACATGTTTGCATCTTGACATGTTGACATGGTTTGCTATGTTGACATGTTGGCATCTTGACATATTGACATGTTGACATCGTTTGCTATGTTGACATGTTTGCATCTTGACAAATTGACAAGTTGACATCGTTTGCTATGTTGATATGTTGGTCTCTTGACATATTGACATGTTGACATCGTTTGCTATATTGATATGTTTGCATCTTAACATATTGACATGTTGACATCGTTTACTTTGTTGATATGTTGGTATCTTGACATGTTAAATGTTGACATCGTTTGCTATGTTGATATGTTGGCATCTTGTCATGTTGACCTGTCGACTTGGTGACATGCAGGTCTCAATTTTTTTGTCACAAGTAAGGTTATTCTTTTCTTAAGAGAAATAGTGGAACAAGATAAGTCTAGGCCCTAGGATATAGTGGCTCTGTGGAGAAACAGGGCACATATGTCAATAGTTGAACAAGATAAGACTAGGTCCTAGGATATAGTGGCGCTGTGGAGAAAACAGGGCAGTTATGTCAATAGTTGAACAAGATAAGACTAGGCCCTAGGATTTAGTGGCGCTGTGGAGATACAGGGCAGATATGTCAATAGTTGAACAAGATAAGCCTAGGCCCTAGAATATAGTGGCGCTGTGGAGAAAACAGGGCAGATATGTCAATAGTTGAACAAGATAAGCCTAGGCCCTAGGATATAGTGGCGCTGTGGAGAACAGGGCAGATATGTCAATAGTTGAACAAGATAAGACTAGGCCCTAGGATTTAATCTCGCTGTGGAGAAAATAGGGCAGCTATGTTAAGAGTTAAACAAGATAAGCCAAGGCCATACGAGATAGTGGCACTGTGGAGAAACAGGGCCGATATGTCAATAGTTGAACAAGATAAGACTAGGCCCTAGGATATAGTGGCGCTGTGGAGTTTTGTCCCGTCTATACAGTTATCAACTTGTTCTATTCTGATCGCCCTAGGATATAGTGGCGCTGTGGAGAAAACAGGGCAGATATGTCAATAGTTGAACAAGATAAGACTAGGCCCTAGAATATAGTGGCTCTGTGGAGAAACAGGGCAGATATGTCAATAGTTGAACAAGATAAGACTAGGCCCTAGGATATAGTGGCGCTGTCGAGAAAACAGGGCAGATATGTCAATAGTTGAACAAGATAAGACTAGGTCCTAGGATATAGTGGCGCTGTGGAGAAAACAGGGCAGATATGTCAATACTTGAACAAGATAAGACTAGGCCCTAGGATATAGTGGCGCTGTGGAGAAAACAGGGCAGATATATCAATAGTTGAACAAGATAAGCCTAGGCCCTAGGATATGGTGGCGCTGTGGAGAAACTGGGCAGATATGTCAATAGTTGAACAAGATAAGCCTAGGCCCTAGGATATAGTGGCGCTGTTGAGAAACAGGGCAGATATGTTAATAGTTAAACAAGATAAGAATAGGCCCTACGAGATAGTGGCGCTGTGGAGAAACAGGGCCGATATGTCAATAGTTGAACAAGATAAGACTAGGCCCTAGGATATAGTGGCGCTGTGGAGAAAACAGGGCAGATATGTCAATAGTTGAACAAGATAAGACTAGGCCCTAGGATATAGTGGCGCTGTCGAGAAAACAGGGCAGATATGTCAATAGTTGAACAAGATAAGACTAGGTCCTAGGATATAGTGGCGCTGTGGAGAAAACAGGGCAGATATGTCAATAGTTGAACAAGATAAGACTAGGTCCTAGGATATAGTGGCGCTGTGGAGAAAACAGGGCAGATATGTCAATAGTTGAACAAGATAAGCCTAGGCCCTAGGATATAGTGGCGCTGTGGAGAAACAGGGCAGATATGTCAATAGTTAAACAAGATAAGCCTAGGCTCTACGAGATAGTGGCGCTGTGGAGAAACAGGGCCGATATCTCAATAGTTGAATAAGATAAGACTAGGCCCTATGATATAGTGGCGCTGTGGATAAAACAGGGCAGATATGTCAATAGTTGAACAAGATAAGACTAGGCCCTAGGATATAGTGGCGCTGTGGAGAAAACAGGACAGATATGTCAATAGTTGAACAAGATAAGACTAATCCCTAGGATATAGTGGCGCTGTCGAGAAAACTGGGCAGATATGTCAATAGTTGAACAAGATAAGACTAGGCCCTAGGTTAATGTGGCGCTGTGGAGAAACAGGGCAGATATGTCAATAGTTGAACAAGATAAGCCTAGGCCCTAGGATATAGTGGCGCTGTGGAGAAACAGGGCAGATATGTCAATAGTTAAACAAGATAAGCCTAGGCTCTACGAGATAGTGGCGCTGTGGAGAAACAGGGCCGATATCTCAATAGTTGAATAAGATAAGACTAGGCCCTATGATATAGTGGCGCTGTGGATAAAACAGGGCAGATATGTCAATAGTTGAACAAGATAAGACTAGGCCCTAGGATATAGTGGCTCTGTAGAGAAACAGGGCAGAAATGTCAATAGTTGAACAAGATAAGACTAGGCCCTAGGATATAGTGGCGTTGTCGAGAAAACTGGGCAGATATGTCAATAGTTGAACAAGATAAGACTAGGCCCTAGGATATAGTGGCGCTGTGGAGAAAACAGGGCAGATATGTCAATAGTTGAACAAGATAAGACTAATCCCTAGGATATAGTGGCGCTGTCGAGAAAACTGGGCAGATATGTCAATAGTTGAACAAGATAAGACTAGGCCCTAGGTTAATGTGGCGCTGTGGAGAAACAGGGCAGATATGTCAATAGTTGAACAAGATAAGCCTAGGCCCTAGGATATAGTGGCGCTGTGGAGAAACAGGGCAGATATGTCAATAGTTAAACAAGATAAGCCTAGGCTCTACGAGATAGTGGCGCTGTGGAGAAACAGGGCCGATATCTCAATAGTTGAATAAGATAAGACTAGGCCCTATGATATAGTGGCGCTGTGGATAAAACAGGGCAGATATGTCAATAGTTGAACAAGATAAGACTAGGCCCTAGGATATAGTGGCGCTGTGGAGAAAACAGGGCAGATATGTCAATAGTTGAACAAGATAAGACTAGGCCCTAGGATATAGTGGCGCTGTCGAGAAAACAGGGCAGATATGTCAATAGTTGTACAAGATAAGACTAGGTCCTAGGATATAGTGGCGCTGTGGAGAAAACAGGGCAGATATGTCAATAGTTGAACAAGATAAGACTAGGCCCTAGGATATAGTGGCGCTGTGGAGAAAACAGGGAAGATATGTCAATAGTTGAACAAGATAAGCCTAGGCCCTAGGATATAGTGGCGCTGTGGAGAAACAGGGCAGATATGTCAATAGTTAAACAAGATAAGCCTAGGCTCTACGAGATAGTGGCGCTTTGGAGAAACAGGGCCGATATCTCAATAGTTGAATAAGATAAGACTAGGCCCTATGATATAGTGGCGCTGTGGATAAAACAGGGCAGATATGTCAATAGTTGAACAAGATAAGACTAGGCCCTATGATATAGTGGCGCTGTGGAGAAAACAGGACAGATATGTCAATAGTTGAACAAGATAAGACTAATCCCTAGGATATAGTGGCGCTGTCGAGAAAACTGGGCAGATATGTCAATAGTTGAACAAGATAAGACTAGGCCCTAGGTTAATGTGGCGCTGTGGAGAAACAGGGCAGATATGTCAATAGTTGAACAAGATAAGCCTAGGCCCTAGGATATAGTGGCGCTGTGGAGAAACAGGGCAGATATGTCAATAGTTAAACAAGATAAGCCTAGGCTCTACGAGATAGTGGCGCTGTGGAGAAACAGGGCCGATATCTCAATAGTTGAATAAGATAAGACTAGGCCCTATGATATAGTGGCGCTGTGGATAAAACAGGGCAGATATGTCAATAGTTGAACAAGATAAGACTAGGCCCTAGGATATAGTGGCGCTGTGGAGAAAACAGGGCAGATATGTCAATAGTTGAATAAGATGAGACTAGGCCCTATGATATAGTGGCGCTGTGGAGAAACAGGGCAGATATGTCAATAGTTGAACAAGATAAGACTAGGCCCTAGGATATAGTGGCGCTGTGGAGAAAACAGGGTAGATATGTCGATAGTTGAACAAGATAAGCATAAGCCCTATGATATAGTGGCGCTGTGGAGAACAGGGCAGATATGTCAATAGTTGAACAAGATAAGCCTAGGCCCTAGGATATAGTGGCACTGTGGAGAAACAGGGCAGATATGTCAATAGTTGAACAAGATAAGCCTAGGCCCTAGAATATAGTGGCGCTTCGGAGAAAACAGGGCACATATGTCAATAGTAGAACAAGATAAGCCTAGGCCCTAGGATATAGTGGCGCTGTGGAGAAACAGGGCGGATATGTCAATAGTTGAACAAGATAAGCCTAGGCCTTAGAATATAGTGGCGCTTTGGAGAAAACAGGGCAGATATGTCAATAGTTGAACAAGATAAGACTAGGCCCTAGGATATAGTGGCGCTTTGGAGAAAACAGGGCAGATATGTCAATATTTGAACAAGATAAGACTAGGCCCTACGAGATAGTGGCGCTGTGGAGAAACAGGGCCGATATGTCAATTGTTGAATAAGATAAGACTAGGCCCTATGATATAGTGGCGCTGTGGAGAAAATAGGGCAGATATGTCAATAGTTGAACAAGATAAGACTAGGCCCTAGGATATAGTGGCTCTGTGGAGAAACAGGGCAGATATGTCAATAGTTGAACAAGATAAGACTAGGCCCTAGGATATAGTGGCGCTGTCGAGAAAACTGGGCAGATATGTCAATAGTTGAACAAGATAAGACTAGGCCCTAGGATATAGTGGCGCTGTGGAGAAACAGGGCAGATATGTCAATAGTTGAACAAGATAAGCCTAGGCCCTACGAGATAGTGGCCCTGTGGAGAAACAGGGCCGATATGTCAATAGTTGAACAAGATAAGACTAGGCCCTAGGATATAGTGGCTCTGTGGAGATACAGGGCAGATATGTCAATAGTTGAACAAGATAAGACTAGGCCCTAGGATATAGTGGCTCTGTGGAGATACAGGGCAGATATGTCAATAGTTGAACAAGATAAGACTAGGCCCTAGAATATAGTGGCGCTGTGGAGAAAACAGGGTAGATATGTCGATAGTTGAACAAGATAAGCCTAAGCCCTAGGATATAGTGGCGCTGTGGAGAACAGAGCAGATATGTAAATAGTTGAACAAGATAAGACTAGGCCCTAGGATATAGTGGCACTGTGGAGAAACAGGGCAGATATGTCAATAGTTGAACAAGATAAGCCTAGGCCCTAGAATATAGTGGCGCTTTGGAGAAAACAGGGCACATATGTCAATAGTAGAACAAGATAAGCCTAGGCCCTAGGATATAGTGGCGCTGTGGAGAAACAGAGCGGATATGTCAATAGTTGAACAAGATAAGCCTAGGCCTTAGAATATAGTGGCGCTTTGGAGAAAACAGGGCAGATATGTCAATAGTTGAACAAGATAAGACTAGGCCCTAGGATAGAGTGGCGCTGTGGAGAAGCAGGGCAGATATGTCAATAGTTGAACAAGATAAGACTAGGCCCTAGGATATAGTGGCGCTTTGGAGAAAACAGGGCAGATATGTCAATATTTGAACAAGATAAGACTAGGCCCTACGAGATAGTGGCGCTGTGGAGAAACAGGGCCGATATGTCAATTGTTGAATAAGATAAGACTAGGCCCTATGATATAGTGGCGCTGTGGAGAAAATAGGGCAGATATGTCAATAGTTGAACAAGATAAGACTAGGCCCTAGGATATAGTGGCTCTGTGGAGAAACAGGGCAGATATGTCAATAGTTGAACAAGATAAGACTAGGCCCTAGGATATAGTGGCGCTGTCGAGAAAACTGGGCAGATATGTCAATAGTTGAACAAGATAAGACTAGGCCCTAGGATATAGTGGCGCTGTGGAGAAACAGGGCAGATATGTCAATAGTTGAACAAGATAAGCCTAGGCCCTACGAGATAGTGGCCCTGTGGAGAAACAGGGCCGATATGTCAATAGTTGAACAAGATAAGACTAGGCCCTAGGATATAGTGGCTCTGTGGAGATACAGGGCAGATATGTCAATAGTTGAACAAGATAAGACTAGGCCCTAGGATATAGTGGCTCTGTGGAGATACAGGGCAGATATGTCAATAGTTGAACAAGATAAGACTAGGCCCTAGAATATAGTGGCGCTGTGGAGAAAACAGGGTAGATATGTCGATAGTTGAACAAGATAAGCCTAAGCCCTAGGATATAGTGGCGCTGTGGAGAACAGAGCAGATATGTAAATAGTTGAACAAGATAAGACTAGGCCCTAGGATATAGTGGCACTGTGGAGAAACAGGGCAGATATGTCAATAGTTGAACAAGATAAGCCTAGGCCCTAGAATATAGTGGCGCTTTGGAGAAAACAGGGCACATATGTCAATAGTAGAACAAGATAAGCCTAGGCCCTAGGATATAGTGGCGCTGTGGAGAAACAGGGCAGATATGTCAATAGTTGAACAAGATAAGCCTAGGCCCTAGGATATAGTGGCGCTTTGGAGAAAACAGGGCAGATATGTCAATATTTGAACAAGATAAGACTAGGCGCTAGGATATAGTGGCGCTTTGGAGAAACAGGGCCGATATTTCAATAGTTGAACAAGATAAGACTAGGCCCTAGAGTATAGTGGCGCTATGGAGAAAACAGGGCAGATATGTCAATAGTTGAACAAGATAAGACTAGGCCCTAGGATATAGTGTCTCTGTAGAGAAACAGGGCAGATATGTCAATAGTTGAACAAGATAAGACTAGGCCCTAGGATATAGTGGCGCTGTCGAGAAAACTAAGCAGATATGTCAATAGTTGAACAAGATAAGACTAGGCCCTAGGTTATAGTTGCGCTGTGGAGAAACAGCGCAGATATGTCAATAGTTAAACATGATAAGCCTAGGCCCTAGAATATAGTGGCGCTGTGGAGAAAACAGGGCAGATATGTCAATAGTTGAACAAGATAAGCCTAGGCCCTAGGATATAGTGGCACTGTAGAGAAACAGGGCAGATATGTCAATAGTTGAACAAGATAAGCCTAGGCCCTAGAATATAGTGGCGCTGTGGAGAAAACAGGGCAGATATGTCAATAGTTGAAAAAGATAAGACTAGGCCCTAGAATATAGTGGCACTGTGGAGAAACAGGGCAGATATGTCAATAGTTGAACAAGATAAGACTAGGCCCTTGGATATAGTGGTGCTGTGGAGAAAACAGGGCAGATATGTCAAAAGTTGAACAAGATAAGACTAGGCCCTAGGATTTAGTGGCGCTGTGGAGAAACAGGGCAGATATGTCATTAGTTGAACAAGATAAGCCTAGGCCCTAGGATATAGTGGCGCTGTGGAGAAACAGGGCAGATATGTCAATAGTTGAACAAGATAAGCCTAGGCCCTAGGATATAGTGGTGCTGTGGAGAAACAGGGCAGATATGTCAATAGTTGAAAAAGATAAGACTAGGCCCTAGGATATAGTGGCGTTGTCGAGAAAACAGGGCAGATATGTCAATAGTTGAACAATATAAGCCTAGGCCCTAGGATATAGTGGTGCTGTGGAGAAACAGGGCAGATATGTCAATAGTTGAACAAGATAAGACTAGGCCCTTGGATATATTGGCGCTGTGGAGAAACAGGGCCGATATGTCAATAGTTGAACAAGATAAGCCTAGGCCCTAGGATATAGGGCCGCTTTGGAGAAACAGGGCAGATATGTCAATAGTTGAACAAGATAAGCCTAGGCCCTAGGATATAGTGGTGCTGTGGAGAAACAGGGCAGATATGTAAATAGTTGAACAAGATAAGACCAGCCCCTTGGATATAGTGGCACTGTGGAGAAAACAGGGCAGATATGTCAATAGTTTAACAAGATAAGACTAGGCCCTAGGATTTAGTGGCGCTGTGGAGAAACAGGGCAGATATGTCATTAGTTGAACAAGATAAGCCTTGGCCCTAGGATATAGTGGCGCTGTGGAGAAACAGGGCAGATATGTCAATAGTTGAACAAGATAAGTCTAGGCCCTAGGATATAGTGGTGCTGTGGAGAAACAGGGCAGATATATCAATAGTTGAACAAGATAAGCCTAGGCCCTAGAATATAGTGGCGCTGTGGAGAAAACAGGGCAGATATGTCAATAGTTGAACAAGATAAGACTAGGCCCTAGGATATAGTGGCACTGTGGAGAAACAGGGAAGATATGTAAATAGTTGAACAAGATAAGACTAGGCCCTTGGATATAGTGGCGCTGTGGAGAAACAGGGCCGATATGTCAATAGTTTAACAAGATAAGCCTAGGCCCTAGGATATGTGGCGCTGTGGAGAAACAGGGCAGATATGTCAATAGTTGAACAAGATAAGCCTATGTCCTAGGATATAATGGTGCTGTGGAGAAACGGGGCAGATATATCAATAGTTGAACAAGATAAGCCTAGGCCCTAGGATATAGTGGCGCTGTGGAGAAAACAGGGCAGATATGTCAACAGAAAAAATGAAAAATGACACTTGATGACATTTGTTTGATGATATTACTTTAATGAGTCTTGTTTGATGAGTTCTATTTGATTAAATTTGTTTGATGATATATGTTTATGATATTAGTTTAATGATATTTTTATGACATTTTTGATGACATTTGTTTGATGACATTTGTTTGATGACATTTGTTTATGATATTAGTTTAATTACATTTGTTTGATGACATTTGTTTTATGATATTTGGTTGAAGAAATATGTTTGATGATACTTGTTTGATGAGTTATTTTTGATGATACTTGTTTTTTTTGTTCCTAAATATCTGTTGGATAATATTTGTTGATGCTATTTGTTGATGCTATTTGTTGATGCTATTTGTTGATGCTATTTGTTGATGCTATTTGTTGATGCTATTTGTTGATGCTATTTGTTGATGCTATTTGTTTATGCTATTTGTTGATGCTATTTGTTGTGGCTATTTGTTTATGCTATTTGTTTATGCTATTTGTTTATGCTATTTGTTTATGCTATTTGTTTATGCTATTTGTTGATGCTATTTGTTTATGCTATTTGTTGATGCTATTTGTTTATGCTATTTGTTTATGCTATTTGTTTATGCTATTTTTTTATGCTATTTGTTTATGCTATTTGTTTATGCTATTTGTTTATGCTATTTGTTTATGCTATTTGTTTATGCTATTTGTTTATGCTATTTGTTTATGCTATTTGTTTATGCTATTTGTTTATGCTATTCGTTTATGCTATTTGTTTATGCTATTTGTTCGATTAAATGTTTTTGATTAAATGTGTCCGATGATCTGACTTAAAAATTAAAATACCTGTTTTTCCCCCACAGACTCTCCCTGCCCAGCCTCCAACTGAAGCCCTCTTTACAACTGAGCATGACAGAAGTGTCCCTGCCAGCAAGTCAAGACACCAAGAAGTCTGTGGTTCCCGCCATACCAGATGAGGAGGAGGATCTGGAAATTCAGGAGGCTCGTTTTGACGCCATGTACTTTGACTATGGTGAGCTGCTTCATATGACTAGATAATCCAAGTATATTTCCCTAAAAATTACATCGTAATGACAGTGTTACCCTGAAAAGGACATATTATGACGATAGTATCCTTAAAATGATATTTATTACTTATATTATCCTGAAATTGACATCATATAACTATTTTATCCTGAAAATAACATAATGTGACTATTTTATTATAAAAATGACATTATATGACCATTTTGAAATTAATGATATGTTGTGTGTTTTCAATCTTCAAACATGTAGGGGACAAGGTTCTGTGTATATCTTTATGTTTATTAAACGACGTCATAAATAAGAGCTAACCTAATGTATATGTATGCGTTCAATTCGAACAAGTGTAATGTCTCCTGGTGTCCAAGTCAAACAACTCTGTACTGTCTGCTGGTGTCCAAGTCCAACAAGTGTACTGTCTCCTGGTGTGCAAGTCAAATAACTCTGTACTGTCTCCTGGTGTCCAATTCAAATAACTCTGTACTATTCCGGTGTCCAAGTCAAATAACTCAGTACTGTCTCCTGATGTCCAAGTCCAACAAGTGTACTGTCTCCTGGTGTCCAATTCCAACAACTGTGTACTGTCTCCTGGTGTCCAATTCCAAGAACTGTGTACTGTCTCCTGGTGTCCAATGCCAAAAACTGTGTACTGTCTCATGGTGTCCAATGCCAACAACTGTGTACTGTCTCCTGGTGTCCAATGCCAAAAACTGTGTACTGTCTCCTGGTGTCCAAGTCCAACAACTGTGTACTGTCTCCTGGTGTCCAATTCCAACAACTGTGTACTGTCTCCTGGTGTCCAATTCCAAAAAGCGTTTCTATATTTTGGTTTTCAATTTCCAAGATCGCCGGGACGAAGAAGAGGAAGAAGAATTGAAGCGGTTGTCTTATCTTGACAGAACACAGCTTCGCTATATGAAGGCCTGTCAAGCCATGCATGTAGGTACTGGTAGGTGCATGGTACATAAATGGTATTACACGTACATGTACAGTCTCCGTAGAAATGTATACATTACAGGACTGCATTCAAGCCTAGTAAATGAAATAGCAAAATGAGGCATGTGGAAGCTTGACTTAGAGAACAGGGCAAAAAGATACGAACGTTTCGGCATAAAGCCTTCTTCAGCCAACAGTAGAACTGAAAATATCACAAAGAACAGAGCACAGTAAATAACTCAAGAAAAATCCATTGTTGTCGACGGAAGTGGGAACACAGGAAGCGAAAGAATATAAATAATGACGCTGTGAAAATTGAGGTCCACAATAATAATGGACCAGAATATCCAGGGATACATAAACAGCAATAAGAAAATAGATGAAATGTCGGGAAACAGAGAAACATCAGTAGGAAATTATTTGATTAATACCATATGGAGATATGGTGCCAAATAGCTGAATAAATTTATTTTCCATTTTAACCCTCTCTGGTGTGTTAGTACATGAAATCAGTGCCGTAATGGTTACATCCAATGCACCTTTATGTTCTTTTCCGTTGAAATGAGAAGAGATTGGGGAAGGTTTACATTGCTCAATATCCCTTAGATGTTCAGTAAACCTATCAGCCAATCTTCTCCCAGTTTCCCCTATGTAACTAGATTGGCATCTACGGCACACAATCGCATATATTACATTATGGCTGACACAGGTGAAACCCTCTTTAATGGTAAAGAAATGTACACACATGGTCTTACACTTACATGTACAGTCTCCTAAGAAATGTACACAAATGCTCTTACACGTACATAAATAGTCTCCTAAGAAATGTATACACATGGTCTTACACGTACATGTATAGTCTCCTAGGAAATGTTCACAAATGGTATTAGACGTACATGTACAGTCTCCTAGGAAATATACATACATGATCTTACACGTACATGTACAGTCTCCTATGAATTGTACACACATGGTCTTACACTTACATGTACAGTCTCCTAAGAAATGTACACAAACCTAAGAAATGTACACAAATGGTCTTATACGTACATGTACAGTCTGCTAGGAACTGTACACACATGGTCTTAAACTTACATGTACAGTCTTCTAAGAAATGTACACAGATGGTCTTAAACATACATGAACAGTCTCCTAAGAAATGTACACACATGGTCTTACGCGTACATGTACAGTATTCTAGCAAATATTCACAAAGGGACGTACACAATGTTAGCTCAAGCCATCTGTTTAGGCACACATCACTCAAATGGAAGCTGTTTAGTGAGTGGTGCCCTCTCGCTGTAGTTAAAAGAACAAATCTGATCAGTCTAGAGACAATACATTTAATTAAAGGCCAAACCAGTTTTGTAATGGTCGTCTTATGTTAGAAACTAACGCATAGAGAGAGAGAGAGAGAGAGAGAGAGAGAGATTGGGGGGCAGAGAGAGGGGGAGGGAAAGGGAGGAAGGGAGAGACCTTTTAAACAGTGCTTCCTTTTCAGGATCTGCAGTTATTTCCCCTTAAAAATAATTATTGTGCATGGGAGAAAACCTTTACTATCAGTACTTATAATGAAACTATTCAAACAGTGTACATAATCAGACTATGCAAACAGTGCACATAAGCAGATTATGCAAACAGTGCATGTAATCAGACTATGTAAACTGAGTCCTTGGTTAAATTCACTTCCCAATTATTTGATGTAGGGTAGAGACTTATGCAGTTTCAAGAGTAGTCTTTACGTTGCAGTTTTGGGGGTTTGTGAAGTGTATGAGGTTCTTGAGATTTGTGAGATATATTAGGTTTTAAGGTTCATGAGGTCTTAAGGCTTATTGGGTTAGATCATTAGATGATGTTTAAAATAAATCATATTTAAATTAGATTCTTTTGTTTTTAAACAAATCAATTTTTTGGAGGGAAAAATCTTTAGAAAATGAAATATGTTGGGTGCCAATCAATTACATGCCAATTTTGTGTCAATCAATTCATGCCATTTTGGGTGCAAATCATTTCATGACATTTTTTGGGTGTCAATTAATGCATGCCAGCTTGGTTGTCAATCAACTCATGCCAATTTGGGTGTCAATCAATTCATGCCATTTTTTCTACACTTAAATTAACGGAGTGTTTGTTAACAAATTAATTTATCCAATTCTTTGTTTGAAGTTGAGTTGATGGCATAATGTGTTCATCCAAATCAGTGTACGCCTTCCCGACGTGTGATGCGCTCGATCAACACGTTTGAACTCATGCTGAATACCTTGAAGTTAAGTGATTTGGAGTTCAAGGCCGTCATGATCGCCCTTATTGTAAGTTGTTGCTTGGTGCCTCTTCTCTTATAGTAAGGACATGGAGCATAGGTTCAATGGCAAAATATATCTTCTTTTTTCTTATAATACCCCATTTTTATCTAACATATCCAATTCTCTACTAAATTACCCCGTACTCAACTAAAATACCCCATTCTCCACTAAAATACTAAATTCTGCTATAAAATACCACATGCTCCATAACAATACCACATACATTAATAAAATCATTAACCAATTTTTTACTAAACAAACTAAAGATTTTCCGTTTCAAAATACCATCTGCATTGGCACAAGGGACACGCGTCCGCCCATTCACATTTGATATGAAACGATCTAATATTTATGAATACATGTTTTCTTGTCCTCTAAACCTTTGTTCTCCCCTTAATCACATCAACCCTCTTACCATTAACTCACAATCTTCCTATTACTTCAAAATTTTCCTAATACTTCCACATCTTACCTATACGTCCACATCTTCCCTATACTTCCACATCTTCCCTATACTTCCACATCTTCCCTATACTTCCACATCTTCCCTATACAGCCACATCGTCCCTATAGTCCACATCTTCCCTATACTTCCACATCTTCCTTATACTTCCACATTTTCCCTATATTTCCACATTTTCCCTATATTTCCACATCTTCCCTATGCTTCCACATTTCCCTATATTTCCACAGTTTCTCTATACTTCCACATTTTCCCTATACTTCCACATCTTCCCTATACCTCAACATCTTCCCTATAATTCCACACTTTCCCAATACTTCCACATTTTCCCTATACTTCCACATCTTCCCTATACTTCAACATTTTCCCTATACTTCCACATCTTACCTATACTTCCACATCTTCCCTATACTTCCACATCTTCCCTATACAGCCACATCTTCCCTATAGTCCATATCTTCCCTATACTTCCACATCTTCTTTATGCTTCCACATTTTCCCTATATTTCCACATTTTCACTATATTTCCACATCTTCCCTATGCTTCCACATTTTCCCTATACTTCCACATCTTCCTATGCTTCCACATCTTCCCTATACTTCCACATCTTCCCTATACTTCCACATCTTCCCTATACAGCCACATCGTCCCTATAGTCCACATCTTCCCTATACTTCCACATCTTCCTTATACTTCCACATTTTCCCTATATTTCCACATTTTCCCTATATTTCCACATCTTCCCTATGCTTCCACATTTCCCTATATTTCCACATCTTCCCTATACCTCAACATCTTCCCTATAATTCCACACTTTCCCAATACTTCCACATTTTCCCTTAACTTCCACATCTTCCCTATACTTCCAAATCTACCCTATACTTCCACATCTTCCCCATTCTTCCACATCTTCCCTATTCTTCCAGATCTTCCCTATACTTCTCGATAATTGTCCCTATATTCCACCCTATTCCCTATTATTCCACCATCCCCCTCCACCACCCCCCCCCAATCTAACAGGCTAATGATGATGTCCAGCGGCTGGACGTGTCTGAAGCGGTCAACAGTGAGCGAAAGATGAGCTACTTGACGGATATCTTCATGGAGGAAACCCAAATCACAGACCTGGTAACATAACATGAGACCATGTAACTTAACATGACACCTGGTAACATAACATTAGACCTGGTAACATAACATTAGACCTGGTAACATAACATTAGTCCTGTTAACATAACATTAGACATGATAATATAAAGTCATTGAAAATCTAGTTCTAAAACAACTTTTTGCTTACTTAAACGACCACTCTCTTCTCAGTCCTAATCAGTTAGCCTATAGACCTTTCCATAGCACTGAGACAGCTCTCTTGAGAGTCACCAATGACATCTTGCTCGCATTGGACAGCGGTGATATCTCCATCATGATTCCCTTAGATCTCTGTGAGGCTTTTCACACTGTTGACCATGAAACCCTTTACAAAAACCTTGAAAATTACTTTGGAATTTCTGGTTCAGTTTTGACTTGGTTTAGGTCCTACCTCTCCGATAGAATGCATGTGGTCGCTGTCCATGGTTTTCTCTCCGGCAGTGCTGACTTTGTGTACGGAGTGCCACAGGGGTCCATTTTGGGCCCGTTCTATTCACAATGTATACCAGGCCAATGCTCCTCTTGCTGAGAAGGCATGCTGTGGAGAGCCAGTCATTCGCAGATGGCACGCAGCTATACATGCATACCCATCCCTCTCTTGTCAATTCCGCTGTCCAGACTTTGCGGGAGAGCATTGATAATGTCAAGTCTCAGATGACACTCAGCAAGTTGAAGCTTAAAGATGACAAAACTGAAGCACTCCTCATTCATGATCACAAATCATTCTTTAGCTCAACTTTCCCCACCTCATTTCAAGTAGGTAACTCCGACATACATTTTACATGCTCTGCTAAGAATCGTGGTTATATTCTGTTCAACAACATGTCTCTCGATAAACATATCTCTCACATTTGTCGTTCAGCATACACCACTATCCGTCAAATCAGCTCCATCCGCCGCCACCACAGAGCTAGTGCCACAAAAACCCTTAGTCTATGCTCTTGTTCTCTCTCGTCTTGACTAAACTCTCTTCTGTCAGGTTCACAAAAACACTTCTTTGAAAAATTACAAAAGATTAAAACTCAGATTTCTAGACTATTTCTAAAAATGTGATCACGTCACACCACTACTTCATTGGCTCCCTG